CAAAACAGTTCTCTCTGGCGGTGGATGAAGTACAATTCCCATCATCCAGGGTCAACACCCCCTCAAACCCACCAGTATTTAAAGTTGATCATGTTGGGTATGTAGGAGTCACAGAACTCTCTGGATGTGGGTGCCATCTTGGGAACCGCATGTAAACATACATACAAACAAACATATTTTGACAATCATAAGATAGGGAGAAATGCTAAGTGCATTGCTCCAGTTGAAAAACTTTACAAAACATTCCATTAAGGCACAGATGTGGTCAGGTATCAAACACAGAATTGGCAATCATCTATTGTACAGCTGAAGCAGTTTTCAAATGGTATCACCTAGCATAATAACATGGTATGATAAGGAACAAAAATTGCAGTTATAAACACACTTACAAAGAAAATGCACTATGTTTAACTTCTCAGCAAGCATGCAGGCTAACTGTGTGTAAGTCACTCTGAACAAGATCACAAAAAAGCAGGAAAAGAACACCTGCTTTAAGCATTTCATTGATGAGCTTTTGTCACAAGAAATTCAATGTGCAGATTTGATAAATGTAAAATTAACATGATGTATGGAAGGATGGAAGGATGTATAGAGCTAATAATTTTGGAAATACCAGTAAAAGACCAAGGCCTGCAATGACTAACTAAACCTGCTTGCTGGACTGTAATTAAAAATGCTAATAACAACTGAAAAGTGAACTCTGATAAGGACTGTGACAATGATTTTTCAAGTTAAGAAAATGTTTGCAACATTCCTTATGTTAAGAAGGAAGACAACACAAGCCTTGTGTTTGTCAAAACCAATCAAGAAGATCAAAATCTGGCCAGGAAACTGAGATGGATCCAGGATGGAAGACATCTGTCATTAATTTACAACTTTGGGGCTACATCAGCAGAATATTCCTATAAAAGACTCAATCTAATAATGCTCAAAGTGTGGCAGACCTGAGGAGTCTGCAGGGGCGGCTCAACCCATTACCAAAGTAAGCATTTGCAGTATAGTTGATTTTGCCCAGGGGCGCTCTTGAGGCACTCTTGGGGGAAAATAGACCTTGACATATGTGAGTTGTAGTTACTGGGATGTATAGTTCACCTACAATCAAAGGGCATTCTGAACTCCACCAATTTTTTTTGTTGTGTCAGGAGCGACTTGGGAAACTGCAGGTCGCTTCTGGTGTGACAGAATTGGCCATCTGCAAGGACGTTGCCCAGGGGACGCCAGGATGATTTGATGTTTTAATCATCCTTGTGGGAGGCTTCTCTCATGTCCCCGTATGAGGAGCTGGAGCTGATAGAGGGAGCTGATCCACCTCTCCCTGGATTCGAACCTGCGACCTGTCGGTCTTCAGTCCTGCCGACACAGGGGTTTAACCCACTGCGCCACCGGGGGTTCAACTCCACCAATGATGGAATTGAACCAAATATGGCACATAGAATTCTCACGACGAACAGAAAATCTATATCAGTAATTGGTTGGGGGAGGGGGAGGGGGGCACCAAAATACTGTTTGCTTACCGTTGAAAATTACCTAGGGCCACCTCTGGGAGTCCCACCCACCATGCTTTGCTCCATGGGAAGGAGAGAGATAATGTACGTATGGAGAGTGGCAGATTTGCACGGGAGCAGTCTGGTCACTTTGGGGCTTCTTTCTCAAGGGAAGAGGAAGAAGTGCACTTTTGGAGTCTTAGATCTTGTGCAGGGAGTCAGGTACTGCTGTATGGAAAACAGAGATCTGGTCCTTGGCATTGTTCTTAGGGAAAGAAGTTTTGGCATTTCAGCGTTTTGAAGTTATGGCATTATGGAAGTTGTGAAACTATACGTTGACAGGCTGCAGGAAAGCAAGGTCTGGTTAACAGGTGCTTCTCTAAGGAGGGAGAAAAGGATATGGTAATATTTTGGATGCATGTGGGTGAGTGCGTGTACATGTGTGTGAATGTTGAGTGAAAATGTAATTCCCCTTTGTTTGTTTGTTAACCAATGTAACTGTAAATCCAATGTAGTTGCATAAAATCTGTATGTCTATATGTCCAATGTCATTCTTTGTCTAAATGTTTTTCTGTAATCTGATATACCCTCTCACACTGGAAATTGCAATAAAAAGAACCTATGCTTTAAAGTTATTGGAAGTCATTCATGTCATTTTTGCACCCATTGCACTGACATTTCTCAATTAGCAGGACAATCCTTCCAACCCGGAGTTTTAGCACATTTCCAAAAGTGCAAAGCTCTTCCCTCATGGCTTGGGATTTCAGGGAGACAATCTCTACCTGGATAAATATCCTCCCATATAACAGCTCTCACATCTAACTACAATACTACTACAGAGTAGGATCTCCTTGAATCAGAGGATTACAGTATGAAAGAGTCAGATGGGTAGAGGCCATTCTTAAGCTATTCAGTTCCAAGCTCATTATTATTTATCTCTGAACGATTTCCAGAGAAATAGCTATACCAGTCTGTTAATTTAGAAAAAAATACACTGTCCTTGAAAACTTATGCCATAACAAATATTTCAAGCTTCTAAATCGCCACAATATCCTTCATTATACATTCTAGCTTTTTAATATAGTCTTTGGAAGAATTGCTTGTTTATTCTCCCAACAGCTCATCTTGCATTGCTATTCCAAATTCTATTTACTGAGAACTCTTGAAAAATAATATACCATCTAAACTTTGTCATCAAGTGGCTAATTACTCACGGCCACCACATAATTCAAGGGAACCAGATTTGAAACTTGATGTTACCAACAAAAGCATAGCCTTGTAGCAATGACATTTCCCATGTCCTTCTGTCTCATTCTCTAAGCAGTTAGGAGGGGTTCTTGTCTGTGCAATACTCTTTTTATAACTCTTCCACAGCTATATATTTATTCTTTGTGTTTGTATTAATCCCTGATCTATAAAAAATATGATAATTTAAAAAAATCAGAAGAATATGAGTCTGCTCATGCTTCATGACCACCACTTCACTTCACTCCCTTAGGCGATCCCTCATAGCCTAAGGATGATGGTCCTCCAAGTGTAGTGTATTGGCGGTGGGTCCGTAGGTGGATGTGGAGCCCTACTCTTGTTCTGCATGTTGTCCTACAGTGAGGACATTGGTTTCCAGGTGGAAGGTGGTCCCAGTCAGGGTTGGTTTGATGTGCTTCTCTCTTTTGATGTGCTTTACTCTTGGCACATTTCTTCCCTTTGCTTTCCATTCACATCTCTTCAAATTCTGCAGCACTGCTGGTCACAGCTGACCTCCAGTTAGAGCACTCAAGGGCCAGGACTTACCAGTTCTTGGTATCTATGCCACAGTTTTTAAGGTTGGATTTAATCACATCTTTGAATCTCTTTCCTGTCCACCAACATTACATTTCCCATTCTGAAAATCCTTGCAAGAATCCTTGCAAACTGCCTTCATGACAACTAGACCCTGGGTAAGTAAGTAAAGCTGGGTTTTGCTTCAATATTTTAAATTAATACACATTTACATCTCTCTCTCTCTCTCTCTCTCTGTGTATGTATGTGTGTATACATATATATATATATATGTGTGTGTGTGTGTGTGTGTGTACATTTATCACACTTACGTGGTTTCTTCACATTGAAGAGCCATTCACATTATGTTTGAAATTGCTTTGTAGAAAACAATTACTTGGTATCAGTCCAGTACAGCTAAAACTTCCTTTGTTTGGGATGTGGGTTTATCCTGTTTAGGCTCAGTTATGGGCCCCTTGGTTATGGCAGCAAAGTCACTCAGAGTTGTTCTTATGTGAAAATGCAAAATATTCCACTTACGCAGAAAAAATGAAATGCAAAGATACAGAATGAGGGATGCCTGGCTCGACAGCAGTATGTGTGAAAAAGATCTTGGAGACCTTGTGAACAACAAGTTAAGCATGAGCCAACTATGTCATGTGGCAGCTAAAAAGGCCAATGGGATTTTGGCCTGCATAAATAGGAGTCTAGTGTCTAGATCCAGGGAAGTCACGCTACCATTTGGTCAGACCACACCTAGAATCACACTGTGTCCAATTCTGGGCACCACAATTGAAGGTAGATGTTGACAGTATCTGAATTGTACTACTTATGGTATATTATTCTTACGATGAATAGCAGTTCTGACAATATCTGGGATACAGTGATTTGGCTCTGTTTTCTTAGTATCTCAAAGTGAGTTTATTATCTGAGGAGGCCCTGCTCTCGGTCCCACCTCCTTTGCAGGTGTGACTGGTAGGAATGAGAGGAAGGGCCTTAGTAGTGGTGGCCCCTCAGCTATGGCACCCCCTCCCTCCTAGCCTTCATTAAAAATGCAAAAACTTGGCTGTAGGATCAGGCCTTCAAAGAATAGTGCAGTGCAATTAACAGATTTGGAATATATGGAATAGCTAGGATTACGACTATGGATGGCGTGATTTTAGTATGGAATGTAATGTTTTTAAATGTTTAATAAGTTTTAATTTTAGTCTAATTTAATTTTAATTTTAATTTTTTGGAATTGTATACATAGAGGCATTGAATAATTGCCTCTATATAAGCTGCCTTGAGTCTCCTTCAGGGTAGAGAAAGACAGGATATAAATAGAGCAAATAAATACATAATTTCAGGAATGGAGAGAGTTTATTTCTGACAATCACAACGCAATGGTGAATCTGGAGAGGGCTTGTGTTGTCGATGTGGAAGAAAAATAATAACAACTTCTGCAATGACCAAAAAATGCAGGGATGCCTTTATGCTTATGTCCCTAACAGGATGCTGGTCCATGTGAGTTACATCTGCATCTTCCGGGATAACAGCAGGATATTGTTCTAGTGTCCCATCAGATTTCTATGGGATTAAATAACCTTGACTGAAGGATATTCAAGTACAAAAGGTCTTGGACCACCCATGAGAGCGGATGAGTGGATTATTTATGTGTGAATCTGCCTTGGAAAAAAAACCCACAAATATTAACATGCTTATTTTTAACCTCCTTTGAAGCAAACGGGTGGAAAAGACACACACAATTCCACTCACTTGTTAGTGACGGCTTGCATAAACTCGTCTACCAGGTCATCGTACTGTTTCCCACGGACCCTTTTGTGCTTCAGACCAATGTAGAGCGGGTCATTCAGTAAGGCCTAGAACGGAGCAGGAGAAAACAAACTCTGTCAGCTTGCCCACTGAGAAAGAAATTTGTCTTCATGTAGTTACCAGGCTGTCTGATCCTTATCTCTGTTTCAGGCAGTTAACCCTAAACAAGATCAACTCAGTAGGACACCTGGATGCCATGTAATTAAATGCACCCCCTGAGGAAGCAAGGCAAGTGCCAAGACCCTTTTCCAGTCGGTGAACTTTTCCTTCCTTCCTGATCTTAGCATAACAAGTGGACCATTTGCTCTACATTTCCCCCCTCTGTGTCCCCACTAAATATGGCAAGGTCTGAGAGATGCTTTCCTGAATCAGACCACCATTGAGCACACAAGTGGTGTTTGTATTTGCCACCAAATAAATAATGTAATTGCATTTTAACTTTCTGCATATTCTTATAAACATCAATTTAATTTAACTTTAATCCGAACATATATTTCCTTATGAACCATCTAGGATGTTAAGATCTTCTGAGGAGGCCCTGCTCTTTGTCCCGCCTTCTTCACAGAAGGGACGAGAGACAGGGCCTTCTCCGTGGTGGCCCCTCGACTGTGGAACGCCCTGCCTAGAGATATAAGATTGGCTCCCTCCCTCCTGACTTTTTTTTAAAAAAAGAAGTGAAAACCTGTTTTTTTGGGCAAGCCTCCCCAAATACGGCATAGTTATACGGAATCATGGAACTACTTGATAACACAATGGAATAATGACTTGACATAGAGACACTCACGATAATGTTTTTAAGGCTTTGTATGGTTTTTATATTTTTATATCATATGCTATTGTTTTTAACAGAATTTTATGATTGTTTTATTTGTTGTAATTGTTGAGGCATCGAATTGTTGCCAATTTGTGAGCCGCTCCGAGTCGCCTCTGGGCTGAGAGGGGTGGTATATAAATATGGTAAATAAATAAATAAATAAATAAATAAATAAATAAATAAATAAATAAATGTACAACTACTTGAGTCCCCATCTTGGAAAAAGATGAGGTATAAAAGCGAGTGATGACATCTGGAAACCAAGTCCTATGAGAAGTGGCTTAGGGAGCTGGCTATGCTTAGCATAGAGAAAAGAAGGCTGAGAGGGGCCACATGAGAACAAACAACAACAGCAACATAATTAGCACAAAGCTAGGCTGCCTCAATAGGAATATAGTCAAGGGAAGTAATTGTTCTGCGTTGGTGAGACTTGGAGTACTGTACCTGGAGGGTATTGACAAGCTGGAAAGTGGCCAGAAAAGTGTGAACAAAAAGGTAAAAGATCTGGAAGGCAACCATATGAAAAGGGCTTAGCATAGGGCCAGCTTAGAGAAGTGAAAGTTAAAAGGTGATATGATAATCATGTCTAAATATTGGAAAGAATGTCACATTGAAGATGTATCAGGTTTGTTTTCAGCTGTTCTAAAGACTAGAATATTGAGCAATGGATTCAAACTTCAGGAAAAAAAGATTTCACCTAAACATTATGAAAAATATCCTAGTGGTAAGTAGACTAGTGTTGTTGTTGTTGTTGTTCATTTGTTCAGTCATCTCCGACTCTTCGTGACCTCATGGACCAGCCCACGCCAGAACTCCCTGTCGGCCGTCACCACCCCCAGCTCCTTCAAGGTCAGTCCAGTCACTTCAAGGATGCCACCAATCCATCTTGCCCTTGGTCGACCCCTCTTCCTTTTACCTTCCACTTTCCCCAGCATAATTGTCTTCTCTAGGCTTTCCTGTCTCCTCATGATGTGGCCAAAGTACTTCAACTTTGTCTCTAGTGCACAGTATTTATTTCATTCAGGTACTCATTTTGTACTGTCCATTTGGAAGGCATGAAACGAAAGACCCATTTTTGGACGAAATAAGAGGCAAAACGAAAGAGAAAGTTGCACGGTTTCTGATTCTTTGTCTGGTTTTGGGTCATGTGGCTTTCCTCACGTGGCCCATGGAGTTCTTCAGCATGCATCACAGGAGGAGGAGGAAGTGTTTGGGCCAACCAGAGCCCAAGAAAACAGTGATGTTGTCAGGCTACATGTCTCCTCTGCATATCCAGAGGGAAACCTCTCAGAATCAGTGGGATCTTAAGCCCTGTCTTTAAGCTCTGGTGTCCTCTGCATATCCAATGGGAAACCTCTCAGAATTAGGGATCTTAAGCCCTGTCTTTAAGCTTGGTGGTCTGAAATTGTTTGTCCATTCAGATGAAAGAACAAAACAGCTCATTTAGAAAGGTCCCCATTTTTGGAAGCAGCATTCAAAGACAAAAACGGGGCCATATGAATGTAACAAACCGAAATGGATAGCAATTCTATACAACTGCATAAGACTATTGGTAAGTGATGTTTGACAGTGCGATATACTGCCTTGGAGTGTGACAGAGTCTCCTCTTCTGGAGGTTTTCAGCAGAGGCTGGATGACCTTCTCTTGCGAATGCTTCATTATGTGTTCCTGCAAGGTATAATGGGGTTGAACTAGATGGCCTCTGTGGTTTCTTCCAATTCTACAATTCTATGGAAAAGCACATCTTGGGAGTGAGAAGACAATTGTGTACACCCTCACCAAACAGGCCTCCAAGATCATTAGGACTGAAGGCTTCCTTCAAACATTTCAAAACCTGGGCAAGTACATCAAAGAGAATTCAGGCCCTCTTCCAAAGTTTCAAATCACACGCACACACACATACATTATATTGTCGGTGCATTTCCCATCCTGGCCTCCATGCCAGTTCCAAATTGGAAGGTCTACTTGAACCCATGACTCACAGGAAAGTCTACCTCCAGAACGTCTGGCTTAGCTTGGTGGGAAACAGGAGGTGGGTCAAGCGAAGGAAATACAAGCAGGTGTGTTGACTAAAAGGATGATTCACCAGCCCGTGTGACTAAATGGAAAGGGATTTTGTTTTCACCCTGTGGGGAATCGGTGGCTAAATGAGCCTGTATCAAAGAAAAGGGATGGGAGGACATCCTGTCAAGTGATCCATTGTTTCCAAATGCTATGCAGTTGGCATGCCAACTGTCTCGCCATATTTTTGTTTCCTATTTTCCAAGGCTACAGGCACAGCTGTGTTCCTTCACCAGGACACAGAAAAGGGGATTCCCTAGGCTGTGACTCAGGTTCCTCTCCATTGTGCCATAATGCTGTGCCTGATGGAAAAGGCAACCGTTTATTGTAATATTTTGTCCACAGGAAAAACTGCGAGGAAGCAGACCCGTCTTCATTATGAAGGTGCACTGTTGTCCAGACTGGCCTCACCCATCCTATCTTTGTGTATCTGATTGTATCTGTCTATGTGTCTTCAAGCTGCTTGTCAACGAATAGTGACCCCATGAATTTCATATGGATTTCTTAGGCAAGGAATACTCAGAGGTGGTTTTGCCAATCACTTCCTCTGAAATATAGTCTACAGTACCTGGTTTTTATCTGAAGCCTCCCATATAAGTGCAAATCACAGTTGTCCTGCTGAGGTTGCAAGATCTGACAGGACCTGGTACCTCTAGAGTAGTGGTTCCCAACCTTTTTTGACCATGGACCACTTTGACCAGAGACCACTCTCCAACATTAGTACCAAAAGGGATACAAATCAGTTTTTGGTAAACTTTTGGTTTGGTTATTCTGGATGCTGATTCAGAAAATTGCATTGGATAGACCACATCAGCTCTGGTTTCTGATACAGAACATATGCCATCCAGTAGTCACCATCTGCTTACCCACAGAAAACTGTGGTAGTAGTAATCTTTTGTGGGTAGTCAACCTCTTCTCTCCTGACTGAAATTAAATGTTTCAGCCTTGATCACATATATTTAGCTAAGCTTAACTCAAGCTTTGTTTTGCACTCGTTTATCCCCTACTTTAGATAATAAGCTTCTGGAAAATTCATAATAATAATTATAATAATAAGAAGTTTGGAAGTCCTTGCTTTATTTTGCTTGAAAAAAGCTTCTCATTCACTAAACCTGACCACATCAAAAAGCCATAAGTTATTTACTGGCTAAAAGCAAAACAAAGCAAAAAAAATCTTAGCAGATGTCCCTCCTGGCATGAGATAGAGCAGTTGGACTCCCTCCCTTTGGAACCATAAGGCCGAAAACTGCAAACAGATGCAACTCCCTTGCATTATGATTACCCAGCATTATGAGTGTGCGAGCTGACAAAACACTGAAATTAATTAGGGCTGAACCATCCACAGGGGAATTCTCCATTTGCTGAAACACCTCCAAACAGGCATGAAGATGTGCTGGTTTCCTTGCGATGATCCCAGGGAAAATAAAGTGTCCGTATCTGCCTGTGATAGTTCCTTTTGGCTTGCCTTATTGTGCTGAAAGATGTAACTGACTCCTTCAACTCTGGCTGGCAGAAAACCTATTTCAGTGGAAGGGAGGGCATCCAACACACATCTGTTTCATAGTACCCACTTGAAGCAATTTAGACACCAAAGGCTTGTGTAAACTGACAAGAATTCCTGGTGAATTACAAGTCTCGGGTGTTCCCTTCTTCAGAGGACTTGGCCACATTGGCCCTATACCCTGCACTGACATCCAGGGACTTCCAGATCATAACATGGGGTAAAGCCAGTTAATCCAGTTTTTCCCACCTTAGGAGAAGTTGGGTATTCTCTGACTTTTCAGAGAATTTCTGGAAAAGCCTGTGGACAGCTGGTTTACACTTTTTGGGCCAATGCTCCTAGATAAGAATGAACTGGACACTCTTCCCTCTTCTAGTCAAGATCACAGACTTGGAGGAGACCACAAAGGCCATCCACTTCAACCTTATTTTACCAGGAAAGGACACAACCAAAGTGTTAAGTAAGTTGTAGCAGGACCAAGTGTTCATGTGTGTTGAAGAAAAACTTCATGATGGTAATTATTATGTGCAGCTGGTAATGTAGGTCAACCAGCAATCTTGGACCACACCCGATAGGGTATAACTGTATGGGTTTTTAGAATACAGTTCTAGAGAGCTTTTTCTCTGAGGAGGTCTATGCTCAAAGGCTCTGCTCTGCTCTGAGGAGCAGGT